TATATATATATATATGTGTGTGTGTGTGTGCGTGTGCGTGTGCGTGTGTGTGTGCGTGTGCGTGTGCGTGTGTGTGTGTGTGTGCGTGTGTGAAATATCAGCCAATGGTTTCAACAGATGGAGCACAAACAAAACACATGCAAAGTGTAGCCAGTGGTAAACCAGTACGGCACAGGGTACTACCAACACATTCATGTGAGGATACACCTCACCTGGCATTATGGAAAGGAAAAAAAAACAATTAACTGATTATATTTAATAATGAATTAACTGTACTTTAGGTTAGTTTCTATTTAAATTCACTATTTTATATGCTTCCTTTTTTTTAATTGTTCAGTTTCCCATTTACCAGTGTTCAGTCCAAGAGTGTCTGGCTACAGACTTTCACTGGCACACTTCGACTGGCACTCTCCTACTATTGGACCAGTCCTGACTGGCTCTCTATTGGATAGCACCTGACACATGACTTCATCCAAAAATGAAGAACAGTGTGGACACTAAACTTTAGAAGTGTTCTGTCGATGTACAGGTTAACCCACTAATTCCCTTGTTTTGGGGTCACAGGGGTCTGCCGGATCTCCAGGGAACATTGGGCGAGAGGCGGGGCTACAGCGCAGTGAAGTTTATCAATCTGCATCAAATAACAACAGAAAAGTATAAATTGTATAGTCTTTTGAACACTTTATTGTGATTTTCATTGTCAATCTCCAGAAAGTAGTAACGACCCTTGATCAAAGCAAAGGAAACAATGCTGAAGTCGAATATTAATAGAGCTGCTGCTGCTACAAGCCCTTCACTTGAGCCACATACGCACGCACTCACACGCGCACACGCACACACACACCCACACACACGCACGCACACACCATCATCCCTAGAGTGACAAAACACAGCTCAAAGCAGATCACAATCAACATGTTCCTTTAAGCTCAGCTTGTCCTTTCTACTACTCTGCTGGTTAAACAATCATTCAATCAAACTTTATTTGTACTGCTCTTACACAGAACTGCACCGTCATCCCAAAGTGATTTCCATGAAACATAAAAAACTCATTTAAAACACAAACATAAAGCAGACAGTGAACAAAATGTAAAAACAATACAATGTAGACCATCTGCACAAGATCATGAGCTAAATGCCTTCCTGAACAGAATAGCTTGTTTTTATAAAGTGATAAGCTAGTAGTAGTTCTCTTTAATGGAAGTTTGTTCTAGAGTCTAGGACCTGCTATACTGGAGACCGCTCGCCGAACTGCTTGTATTTACTCCTAGACACAAGTCCATGGATGGCTTGAAATGTAAAACCTTAAACTCAATTCTACAAGGTGAACAGGAAGCCAGTGCAGTGAAGATAAAACGGGAGTGATGTGATGACAACGTCGAGTGTTTGTTAACAAACGAGCAGCTGCATTTTTGGAGCAGTTGCAAGCGATGTAAACTGTACTGGTTTAATCCCAAGTACTGCACGTTGGCGTAATCGATTCAGGAACTAATAAAAACATGGTTTTATTGTCGGGTTTTATTGTCGCCAGCAAACGTAGTTGAAAAAACTGCTCTCACAACAGAATGAATCTTTAAGCTTGAGTCCAGTCTGACTCTCAAACTAATCGCGGTCGGCTTGCCCTGTACTGACAAAGCATCCAAGTCAGTTCTGAGGGAAAAGAGGAGCCAAAGACAATACCTCCGTCTTACTCTCGTTTAACTAGAGAAAGATAACCATTGCTTCATGTTCATCATGTCGAGTGCCTGTCTGACTGATTAGAGAGCTAACTTTGTGCTTCCCCATAAATGAACCTAGTGATAGCATTTATAAAGAAAACAAAACAGGACCCAGAATGGAGCCCTGTGGGACCCCAGAAGACAAGGGAGCGGTGCTGGGGGAGAAACCGTTCACCACAACAGAGAAAGTCCCATCAGTTTGATAAGATCATTTAAGAGAGGTAAACGTAATTGAACGTAAATCATGTTTGATTAAAAAAATATAAAGAAAGACAAGTGAACAAAAATCCTGAAAGTATTCCACCCCAGCACCTCTCTATAAATACAGTTCATGATCCCATAGGGATCTCGGCTCGTTCCCCGGACACTCCTGAGATATTAGCCGAGTTATGTTAGTGAATATGTGATAAAAATCTAAACACAGTGTAATACAATTGCAAACGCCGGTCATTTATTCCTCCA